TTAAAGATTCCCCATTTTAAAGATTCCCCGTTCCCCGTTCCCCGTTCCCCGTTCCCCGTTCCCCGTTCCCGTTCCCCGTTCCCATTCCCCCATTCTCCGATTCCCCGTTCCTCCTTCTAAAGATAGCCAGAAAAAATGCATGCTCCTTGTTCATGTCCGGAAATTGCTGCAAACCGCAATCACGCTAGCCTCCTACGGAGACGCCCCTGGCCTTGAAGGCTACAGTCACGCAAAAACCAAAAACCTTTCTCAGTTCCAGACCTCCCATTAACTGACCGCGTATTTGAAATTCAATAAGGCCGTCACACAGCCCTGAGTTCAGTGTGACAAGACTTACTCGCTGAAATTTCTTTGTTTGTCAGCAATACACAAGATGGGAGACACTGAAGTGGGTTTCACCGTAGCGTTCGTTGTAACAATGCTCGTGGCATTGGTGGGGAACACTCTGTTAATCTACATCGTGTGGAAAAAACCCGAGACACGAACGCTGACAAGCTTCATGTTTGTGAACATGGCAGTGGCCGACTTGTTGACAACACTACTCCAAATGCCCATCACAATATCCTTCTTATTGGACGCTCCTTGGATTCCTGGTCTAGCGGGGACAATCACTTGCAAATGTTTCTACTACGCCACGTTCACTTCAATAACTGCTTCAATCCTGTGCCTGACCATCATAGCAGTGGATCGGTTTTTCGCGGTTCTCTATCCTTTCCACAGCATCGGTTGGTTCAGGAAAGCACAGATCGTCTCTCCAATCATTTGGATTGTATCTTTGGCACTGATGTCTGTCTCGGTGACTTTTATTATACTGGACGAGGACATTACTATGTGTAGCTATTACTTCCGCGAGGCCAAGGTGAGCATGAAAGGCTTTTTTACCCTGTTTTTCGTCGTGAACTATCTGGTCCCATTAGTTATTATGTCCGTCCTGTACGGAGCTATAATTTACAAACTGTGGTCCTACAAGGCCCTTAGCACTGAAGAGGGACGAAACAACCAAGAAGAACAACAGAAGAAGAAACAATTGGTTCGAATGCTGGTCATAGTTGTTGCTGTGTTTGCACTGTGCTGGCTTCCTACAAACGTGTATCAGTTGGAACTAGGAATGACAGGCGATACGTCGTTCTCAAACTTTGGAAAGTACATTTCCTTTTTACTCAGTCAGGGAAACAGTGCTATGAATCCGTGGTTGTATATTGGACTAAACAGGAAGTTTCGCCAAATAGCCTTCTCGTGTACCTCAGAAAACCAGAACAGCAGACGGGAAAAACGCCGGGAAGAGGTAAAGCTCCAAAGAAGAGCAATGCAAAGGGAGGTTGAGCGCGAGGACTCTGATTCATTTCAAGATAAATTGTAACTTGGTCTCGTCACATAACTTAAAGGTCCCTGGTCAGCTTCCGTAATTTTTGATGCCATTGAAATTATTGATATTGCATGGTGAAGCAAAATCCTAAATTTGTGTTTCTGAAAGTATGTTTAGTTATCTTTACTAGTTTCACAGCGATTTCTTTCATTTCAACGTGGGCCGAGAAAAATATAATAGCCAAACTCTCGCTTTTAAACAAGAACAAAGGTGTGGCTGACTAGGACCCTTTAAGTCCAGATCAAAGGAGCTCTCTCTATCACGCAATGATATGCTCTCCAGAGAGAGGGTCACTGTAGCATTGCGTGACAGAGGGAGAGTCAGAAATGGACTAAACTTTGAATAGGCAGATTACCTAAACTCATTACATTGTCTGTTTATGTTTAACTTAGTTTCACATTTGCTACAGTCTGTCCATAAAAGCTAAAAGTAAAGATAAAGTCAGTATACCAGACATGTGTCCCATCTGGCCAGTACTTATCTCAGTTTCTGTAGCATGAAGTGACTTGGAGTATTTCTTCTCCCCCCTGGATGCAATGCTAGTCTATTGCAGGGTTACCCCCAGCATTAAGTTTGCTGGTACCCATTTATACACCTGGCTCAGGAGAGAGGCTCTCCACTTTACCCAATGACACAGAATGGTGTGCCATTGAGTTAAGCATTTGGCGAAGAACACAGCACATTGTCCCCTGCTGGGGCTGGAACCTGGACCACTCAATCCAGGGGTGAGCGCACTAACCATGAGGCCAATGCGCCTCCAGTACGGTCAGTCCATACCGGCTCAATAGTTATGACTGTCACAGTCGAGAAAAATTTTCTTCCTGTAGCTTGGCATGTTCCCTCCACATAGATCAGTGGTGTTTTATGTGTGAATATCATATGTCAATCTTGTTAAGGATAAGAGTGAAGCTACTTAAAGAGATGTTAACTTATGCTAGACAAAATCAGCCATAGAAAAATTGCTTGCTTACAATGAATTGATCTTAGGCTTAAACATGTGCCAGAGACATTGTCAAGCAAGGTGTAGTCACTATGAGCTAAATAAAGCTGCAGAAACTGTAAAGTTTTCTTCCTTAAACGCATAGTCAATAGTACTTGGTTAGATTGTGAAGCTGAAAATATAAAAATTATAAAATTTGAAATTTGTAATAGTAGAAATAACTTTTAAATAACTCTTCATGTAAGCGATTTAAACAACTTGTGATGGATTAAGAGGAAAAAATTTTATTAAGAAAGAGTTTCAAATAAAGTAATGGCGAGTTTAATTAAAAAAATTCCCGAACTACCCATGCCACCATCTGGTTAAGCTCGGCCTGATTGTCATGCGCATAGGACAATAAGCTCACGAAATAAATCAGCGATTGTTAACTGATGGATATCGGGCAATAGATAGCCAAGCGCTAGAAAAAGTGAACTTATCCTTTCTTTTTTCCAATTAAATAATATTCTTTTAGAACTGGCTTTGATCAACAACAAACAGAGATATGCTATGATGGGGCAACACCCCGCTCAGCGATTGGCGTGACAGACGACTTCCATTGCGTGACCCGGAAGCGCCCCATGAAAAATCATAGACAAGTGTAAGGAAAATTAAAAACCGCGAATGGATCCCTTCTAGCACAGCTAAATCCCTCATATTTGGTTAACTGAATCCCATCCTTTGTCTTATATCCTAGTGTTGCTTCATAAATTGTTCAGAATTCAATTTTTATCAAAATTATTTGCCATCATTGTAATTTCTGACCTGTGTTGCCTACATGTCAAGATGGCTACAAAAACCGTGATAATTAAGGTCTAAGGACGCCAATTTAGTTTGGATGTACCTAATAATAATAATAACAATAATAATAATAATAATAATAATAATAATAATAATAATAATAATA